CTTATTCATCTTACTTTACTTTCAAAGTTTCCTAATCAGGGACGATCTCTTTAAATACGTCAGGTGATCTTCCAATGATCCTCCTTTTGCCATTCAATTAGAGTATAAACGTTGCTTGAGATGCAACTTGCTTGTTAGACTTTTGGTCATGCACAATTGCTTCAATTTCAACCATAAAACAGCTACTATAGCCTCCTTCAAACCGTCATGAATAATTTTATTCGAGAGATGAAGATGAATATGAGAAAGTTTCTTCTTATCCTTCCGTAATTTCTTCTCCACTGTCAAAATTGCGAGCATCTTGTCAATTCCCAACAACGCATCATCTAAATCATGTTGTGCGAGTACTACACGCATCTTAATATGCTATAACGAAAATCTAGTGCTCCGATTTAAAAGCGAAATGTCATACTTCATGGAAGCTATCACGAACAAAAACCTGGAACAAATCAAACCCAGCGCTCTTGCGGGACTGCTGAAACTAGGCTCTGATACAACTTTTTGTGTTAATTATGCCCAGAATCTCTGATACCAATTGTGGAAAATTCAAGGATCGCGTATTGCTCGATACCACTTGATATGAAACCAACTACCAGATTAAGATGTTGAAGTTATATGGAAAAATATGAAGTATATGATCACAAGTAAAAGAATAAAAAAAGACGAAAAAATATGGCAGAAGAATTATTAGATTTTATTGTATCACAAATAATGAAGATGAAGAAAATATTATAATAATTTTAAAAGCCAGTAATCACTTTTTTCACACTATAACATTGTATAGAAGAGTCAAGTATATATAGACAACTATGTAGGATGACGTCCAACCCTAATAGATAAGTTGTAGTTGAAGTAGAATACCAAAATCGTGTTAAAACACGAAAAGGGTCTAGACCGGATAATCCTGTCGCTTGAATTATAAGTTAGCGACAAGTCCGTCGCTCGAGTGCTAGGCGGAAGATAGGCGAGCGACCAAGTTTTGGGAGAAAACCTGCAGGTGCTGCTCAAGCGGTAGGCTAGCGAAGATGCATCGATTTTTCTTCCTGGTCCATAATTTTAATATTTTCAAGTCCAATACAAATTCAAACTCACAATAGGGTTTTCAAATAAAATTTTAACTTGAATAAAACTCCAATAAAATTCCAACTAATTTTCTCTTAATGTACACTTTAATTAAATTTTTTAATTATTTTAATAAGAAATTCGTGTCACATTCAAATTCTAACATTTAAGAGTTGCAAAAGGAAGATTTCAAGAATTGAGTGTTTCTGCTAATATGAAAGCAAATTTTCTATCCACCTATGTATGTACGCTGAAATGTAATTTAAGTCAAAGTCTCTTGATTTGATATCAAATTTATTGAGAAATCTGGGTGAGAGAGAAAGAGTAATTATTATTGTTTATTAGCTTATATTTGTAAAGTTCAATTCATTATTTTTATCCTCTTGTTTGACCTATTTCAATATTAGACACTTCATATTTCTTTAATCTTTTTCTAAATATTTGGGTTAGATTAAAAAAAAAAAAAAAAAAAATCTCTCATTATAGTACTATAGTCACACAAAGATTGGACAAATTGGAGTAATTATTAATCTATTACAATTAGTCGTGTAATTAATTTAAGTTAAAACCATAACATATTATAATTAACTAGGGTGTGTTTGACACCCATTTTNGACTTATCAGATACTCCAAACTTGAACATTGTTTGTTTTCAAACTAAATTAAGCCCTTGTTTGACACCCTTTTTGGAGAAAAATAAATTTTGGAATAGTGATTGATGGAAGAATGTGTGGTTGAAAAGTAATAAGAATTTTTGGGTTTATGTGTAATATTATTTTATTGATAGGATGTGTGGTTGAAATGAAGAAAGAGAATGAAAATGAGAAAGAGAATGGATATCAAACGGGGGCATATATACATAGTTTCAATGAAATAAAGCTTTTCCTTTAAATCACTCAAATGAAAGCCACTTAGATAGCAATATTTCTAATTCTAAAAGTGCAAGCTACATATCGCGAAATATTGGAATATCTCGTTCATGTACCAGGACGAGGGGCAGGTGGCAATCTTATCCTTAACATCCATTTATGACTCATCAATGCAACCAATAGCTAGCCAACAGGTTTCCTCAATATACTTCCAACTACAGTTACTAGCGGGCCCTATTCTTTTATTTTTTTCTCTATTTTGTCCTCTACAATTGATTCTTTGTGAAACTATGTCGTTTTGTAGAGCAAAAGTACAAGTGAGGCACGTGGGTGTGGATATGGGTTTAGCCACTGGCCCACTGCCTCCCGCTTTTTGGCACCCCAAAACCAGGTGTGGGCCGTGGCCCAATGGGTGTTCACGTGACACCCTGGATTTTTCAGAAGCTTCATTCAATGTGGGTCGATTGATCCATCCGACTAGGAAACAAATTAAGGGTAAGTGCAGTAGCGGTACCACTTATTAAGTAACAGACTTTATCCAAATCTTTCATTTGTGTCACCCACGATACTAAACCTTTCAAAATATCACGCCTGAAGTCCAAATATATGGTTTCTGTTAGTTTGACTGTTAGTTGACCAAATAATTGACTTTGACAATAATTTTGACTAATTTTAAAAAGATTAAAAATTGTAATTTTACATTTTTTAATAACAAAATAACCAAAATCAAATAATTAAAATTAAAAACCCATTCCACTTTTCCATCCCTACCTTTACCTTTATCTTCTCCTTCTTTTCCACCGCCAGCATCGGTGGGCCACGATTTCCATCAGACTCCTACATAGACTTTGGCTACGAGGAGGAAGACGAAGACTACGACGAAGACGGATTTGTTGCGAGGAGGGGAAAGATGAAATGCCTTTCGTGCAATGAGGAGTACGTGGCATGTGACGCTGGCACGTGCAGGGAGTGCTACGAAGAGGCCGACAAGACGGATGAGGAGCTCAAGCGCGATATCGAGGACCTCAAGGCCAAGGTCAATTTCCTCCGGCTATTCTTCGCTGGTTCGGTGGGACCATCCCCATTTCCAGGTCTAATACGTTGGCCTTCTCCGATGTTGTATTGATCGCCTCTGGTTCGACTGATTTTGCCGATCCTCAGTATAATTTTCCCTCCATCCCTGCCCATCGGGCTGTCCTAGTATGGTACCAATTTCACCATTTCCGTTTTAAAAAAAAAATCCTCTTTTGGGAGGATTTTTTTTAGATATTTTGATAGGAAATGATGGAATTTGGAACACTTTAATTTAATATTTTTTTTTCTGGCTTTTAATTTTAATGTAGCTCAACACCAGTTTCTAAATTCATCTACTGAAATTGTGAAGACAGTTACGTATTGAAAATTCGAACTTCCGAGTATTGACAAATAAATGTGAAAGAAGTGCAACCGAGAATGAATTTGTCATTGCCGTGAAGCTAGAGGTGGCGAAGGACGGTGACATATTGACAGTGACGCCGACGCTGGCAGTGGAAGAGAAGGAGAATGTGGAGATGGAGGTGTGTTGATGAAGGTGGAATGGATTTTTAATTTAATTATTGGATTATTTTATTATTAAAAAAATGTAAAATTACTATTTTAACCTTTTAAAATCAGTCAAAATTAAGGTCAAAATCAATTATTTGGTCAACTAACGATCAAACTAATAGAAGCCATCAATTTGGACTTCAACTGCGATATTTTGAAACGCTTGGTACCGTGAGTGACATAAATGAAAGGTTTGAATAAAGTCTGCTACTTAATGAAAGATTTGGTACCGCTGCTACAATTATCCTGACCGTGTATTTGATATATTTTCTTTCCATCTCTAAGCTGTTGTTTGAGTCCTATTTTCAATAATGCATTTTTAAACTCTTTTTCAATCCCATATTTTTTTAATAAAATAATTTTACACGTAACCCAAAAACTTTTTCCTATTTTTCAACTACACATTTTCCAAAAATCATTATTCTAAAATCTATTTTTACCGATTAATGGGGCTCAACAAGGGCAAGTATTACGTACTTGGCTTTATTTATGTTAAATTGTTTAGTAGATGAAACAACTTTTTAACTTTAGATAAAGTAATCATCACATAATATATGATGTTACCAAAAATCATATTACGAGAGGCCCAATCTCGAGCTGTGAAGTAACACGAATAAGACCTTCGAACAAGCGACAAAGAAGGTTAAAGGAGTTGTTCCCACAGTCCATTCAATGCTAAAGTAAAAAACTCGTAAAAAAAAAATATGTGCATGAGATAGTAAAGTGGACAATAATGAAAATGCACTTCATAATGAATTAAGCTAAGTATATATACTTCTGTTCTATAGAGACCATTAGTCTTCTTCCCTCTGGCTAAAACAAGAGAACCCTTTTTCAGTTTCCAACAGCAATCTCCAAGGTGATTATGATATCCTTCTTCATCAAGCTTTCCAACAGAAATCAAGCTGTAGCTCATATCAGGAACATATTTGACACCTCTAAGAAGTAACCTGCTACCACTGCTAGTTTCCAATAGCACATCCCCCACGCCAACAGTTTTAGCTTTAGCTTCATTTCCCAACCTGATCCAACCAAAATCACCACTGGTGTAGGATGAAAAGAAATCCCTACGTGGAGTAATATGAACAGACGCT